CTGATCATGGGAATATTCCTCAGACTGTGTCATATTAATGTGATGAATATGTGTGCACTTATTATTTCAAAATCACCTCGTATATAGTTGTGATTATTTCGTTGTCAGCTGTCATATCTTTTCGCGGGTATTCATTTCGCATGATTATATTAACTGTATATATACAATATATATATGGATGATAAACTGCCATGCAGAGAAAATCGGCCTCTTAGAATTTCAAAAACTTATTTCAAATTATCGTTACTGATCAGAGTCAACCTATAGAGTTTAAGGAAATTTGAATAGGTATAAATATAAATCAATTCTATTCAGGAGAAAGACAATATAAATATAGGTCACAATTATTTTTAGTGGTCGTTTTGTTTGCAGGGCAGTGTGTTTGTTCTAACCTCGAATAACTCGATTTTTTCATTTGCAGAATAACCTTTGAAGAACTATAGAAACTTTTATCCATCAAAAAATTGATATCCAATATCGCCATTTAACAAATGAATATGAAATCCGATTGTTTCACACCTCCACTGCCCACTCAATGCTTTTTTTTATATTTTCGTCTCCAATAAATCATGTGAAGACAAATGACAGTAATGACACGTAATTCGCGATAGAAAATAAGCGTACGCCACCTATCGGAGTGTTTGGAAGCTGTCAAAGCGGCCTGTTTACTTTGTTTTCATTGGTTCACATTTGTTTTTTGTTTGTTCTTATTGCGGTCACATCATCAAAACAAAACGCTTAGAAGTGTTCAAGTTGTTGCCGTCAGGTGGAGCGACGTGTTATTTTCTATCGCAAATGAGTCGTGACTCGTGAATGACATTTCATGACCTCGACTGTTCAGCTGTTGAGGCTCAAGGGTTGAGGCTATCCGGCTAAATTATATAAAGCCGCAACTTCACTAGAAACTGTCAGATGTACGCATGCGTTATGCGATATTAGCCCGAAATTAGCAGGCCAAACTACACCAGCGGCTTCTACGACCTACATCTTGACATCTTGTACCAAATTGCATCTTTTTTTTCACATTGAGTTTCGGAAATACAGAGGAAATATCATCTTCAGGGGGCCGTAGCTCCCTTAGGAGACATATTTCTCGTCTCATGTTCATCGAAACTTCTTTCCTATTTTTGATCGTATAGAAGCCGCTGGTGAAGTTTGGCAAGCTAATTTCGGAACACCCTGTCTACAACGCTTTCGGAATTTCTAATATAGTTTTCGATCTGAAAAATTATATATGTAAAATTGAGGAAATAATTCTCAAAATAAAATTTTCGAAATGCCTTTTTAAAGGGCATATATATCAGAAAAGTTACAAGGAAAGTTGCTGAACTTGCTAAAGTTGATTTTGTTCCCACAGTTGTCTCTGATGCTCATGGCACAATGTTAACAGAGAAATGAGTCATAGAAAAAAATCAAGTTTGGCAGATAGAGCAAACACAAACGAACAGTCTTTTCGAAACAAGTATCAACATACCGACCACAAAAAAATTGCCCAAATTGGTGGCCCCTTTACTTTTTTGATTTATGTCAGATTTTATTGGTATTTCAACCAAATCGTAGATTCTTGTTTTGGAATGTTTTTTTTTTTGTATTGGGGGTGGTTGTTGAAACCCTTATTATGTACATCATATGAGTCTGATCCCACACATATATTGTGGGATTTTCTCTCTAGCCAGTATACCCATAAACACTCCACTCCGTTTGTGGGCTCGTCTGAACGATGTCTCCTACGACACTTTAGGCCTATTGCCCATTGTATATTTACATTTTATTATAGTAGTCTGTAGTATGCCGTTATTGATTTCACCATATACGACCCATGGTGTTCTTATATAGGTATAAGAGCCATTTCGAATACAATCACAGTATCTGTGAGCACTGCCGCTCACAGTACTAGAGGTTCGTTCGAAAAACCCTTTTTGTTCAGGCTCCAGAAGAGTGAATAAGATTACTCTTCCGAGCCCTGATCTAGTCCATGAAGAAGGTCGAAAGTTTTCCATCTCCTATGAGTACTGGGGGAAGGGGTTTGTCCAGCCCTGTGGTTCCCCCTGCACCAGGCTAATACTCTTTACTCTGAGATGTCGCCCTGTTTCCCAGAGGTCCCGTTATCCACACCACACAACTTGGATTAAGTTATGCCTTGCACACAGATGTCCACAAAACCATACCATCCGATTGAAGAGCGCAAAGATGTCCACGAATTGGCCCATTTGCCAAGAAGCTATGGCTTGTCCTTCCCAGCACCATGGCGAGGTTGGTCTTTATAGGGGAGAAGCAAAAAAGAATAATTGGCCAAGAGAGGCCGATAGGGAAGACAGAAAACTGGAGAGTGAACAGGATACCATCCAAGACAAGTTGAAGATTGATGAATAGGTGCCTTGCACACAGATGTCAACGAAACTATCCCATCCGAGTGAAGAGAGCAAAGATGTCCACAAATTGCCCCATTTGCCAAGAAGCCATGGCTTGTCCTCCCCGCACCATGGCGAAGTTGGTCTTTAGGGGAGGAGCAAAAAAGAATAATTGGCCAAGAGAGGCCGATAGGGAAGACAGAAAACTGGAGAGTGAAGTTGCCATCCAAGATAAGTTGAAGATTGATGAATAGGTGCCTTGCACACAGGTATCAACAAAACTATCCCATCCGAGTGAAGAGAGCAAAGATGTCCACAAATTGTTCCATTTGCCAAGAAGCCATGGCTTGTCCTTCCCGCATCATGGCGAAGTTGGTCTTTAAGGGAGAAGGAAAAAATAATAATTATTGGCCAAGAGAGGCCGATAGGGAAAACAGAAAACTGGAGAGTGGAGAGGTTGCCATCCAAGACAATTTGAAGATTGATGAATAGGTACCTATCCGGCTGAATTTAAGTTCGCAAGAAAACCTGATGGCTTGATTATTGCACAGGAAAGAACAAAGAGGTTGCTGTTTCACCCTTAACTTCTTGAATCCTTATGACATAAGTGAGTGGTAAACCCAGCTTCATTCTGTTTTGGATTGCATCCAAGCCATCAGGTTTTCTTAGGAACTGAAACTCATGCTTACATTCCGAAACATATTATTATATGATATTCGGTTTACATTTCACCAAAATTGGAGAATTAATAAAATTACAGGACGATCCATTTTGCCTAATTTTCCTCTGGCAGTTTTTTTTGCCGGTGAGTGACTGAGTGTGTTAGGCCCTTACCTATATTCTTATACAAATTTTCAAAATCCAACCTCACTCATTTTTTGTTTCTGTACAAAATATAAGATCGTTAGTAATTGATACTGGAAATTAGAATTCAATTTCGTAGCCCTATTTGAATTTGAATATTTGGCCAACCCTATGATTGGAAAAAAAATCATAGTTGGCGGAGAATTATTTTGAATTTTGGTGAAGGGGCTTCGAATTTGAACTTTTCGCCATAACTTGTATTTGCTATATAAAATGAGTTATCGAAGAGAATTTTAATTTCAAAACCAATTGTATGAGTAAAGAACGGCTGTTATTCGATTGTTTCGTAACATTTCATTTCCACTACTAGATTCGGAAGCACTCAATATCGGATAATCGCAAACATTAATGGAAAAATATTGATTATCAAAAAAGGTATAACAACCAATTTCAAATGAAATGTGAAAATCGGCAAATATTGTGAACAAAGAAGTTGAGGAATTTCGAGTTGATAGCCCCATTTATTCTAGAGTTGTTATGAGGAAGTTGTTATTTGGAATTCATCAATCTTATTGTAGGTACCTATTCCAAAAGTGATTATTATTATAAGACTTCCAAATTTTACCAGAAATCTCAAAGTTCTTTAATAAATTTTTGGGCAATGTTGATATTTTTTTTCTGAATGAATATACAGAAACAAAAGTATTTAAGTTTACAAAATCGAAGGTTGTTATATAACATTTTAGGCAATGAAGATTCTCTTTTATATTATTTTAGGATTAGAGGTACCTATATAATATATCCAAAGTGATGCTTCTGAATCCACCACAGAATTTTCGACATATACAAAAAAGGATAACATGCTCTGAATTATGAAATTATTTCTAATCAATAGACTTCCTGCTAAAAAAGAAAATGTTTTAAGAATGATGATAAGGGTGCTCCGGTCTTATATAAATGGATGACAGTGTATACAAGTCGCTTCATAATATTTTTAACGAGCACTTCAAGAGATGATAGGGCGTCTCAAAAAATTTAGTTTCTACAAACATAATATGTTGTTTCCAAACGGTAAGATTTTTACACTGGGGATTCTCCTTCAATTTGATGTATAGTCTTTACAGAGTACCCTGCATGATCATCAATGAGGGCAATTGTTTGATGCAGCTCTCTCAACAAGAGTTAATGAAGGGCATGAAAATATAGCAAATCACCTGTACTAACGAGATGATTTTAAAAGAGCAAATTATAGAGTTATTTAACCAACTAGTGTATTAATCGCCTTTTAATATACAAGTTGGTTACAGAATTTTTCCGTCGACTATATTTCTTATTTCTCCTGCAATGAAGAAAACTTGGTTCGCGAATTCATCATCCATCCGGAAACTGCGAAGAATCACCCAGTAGCCTTATTACTGACATTAGTGACATTTGACATTTGTCGAAATTATCTACATAGGAAATAAATTCCTTGTGCTAGAAAACAGGGATTAAAATCGTGTCAGAAACTTGGAAATCGTCGATGAAATCCATATTTTCGATTTAAATGCAGATTCCGTAAGTTATAGCATAAACAATGAATGCACGCAGTGTATGTTTGGTTGCCTATAAAACAATCGTGCATTAATAGACAAATCGTTCATTAACAGGGGTCATTAATGAACGATTTCATATACATTAAACTTAGTCGTTAATACGAGGTCGACGGAAAATAGGTTTTAATTTTAAATTATGTCTGCTATTTCTGCTTCTACAAGGAAGGTATGCATCGACCCTACACCCTCTGTAACGCGAGTAATTAACAACTACACCTAGTATTAGTCTAGTGTATACGTGGGTACTCACTGTGTAAAACGGATATTGAGGTACATTTTTGAACCCTGTAATAAGAAATTTTGTCATTACTGGAACTGATCAGCATAATGTTGTTTGTTTTCTGTGACCTCGTAGGTATTCCTAGACGAAAGTTCTGAATGCTAATAAGAGCAAGAACAAAAAACTCGAATATTCACTGAACTACTGCACACTGGCTAGAGCTATATTGACATTTCACGAAGATTAGTACCATATCTCAGAAGAATGGTGAATTGATAAGTATGCATCAGTTACAGTGTCCTTATCATATCAATGTCGTAAATATTTACATGAAATTAATGATCTTTCAAAAAATTTCCGGAGACAGTTTGTGATTAACATCATTTTATCCAATATATTTTGTTTTAAAAATGATGATTTACTTCCTATTTTACTGAAAGATGAATCCTTGGCACATATATTTTTATTATACTTTTGAAACTATACAGAGCAGGTTGCTAATTCAATTGGAGCATTATGTGAGTTTTTTAATTTTACTATATATCCACATACATTTTTCATTTCATTGAATTCAATGCAGATAAATCAAATTATGAAAATAAAAAGATCAAATAAATAATTTGCATTTTTATGTGGGAAACAATTAATGGCAGATTCGTTCCCAAAACATCTTGGCGATTCCTGATCTGCGTAGTGACATTTTGGGGAAAATCATCTGATTCAGGTAGGGAATATTGAAATAATAGTAATATTTTTGTTAATAGAGACAAAGAGAGAATATCTCAAAAATCTAAAAAAATATATTTTCCTTTATATACTCACTGAATCGATTTTTTTATATTTTTTTTATCGCTTGGAGCGCACGAAAGGAAATCCCTATAATGTTCAAAGAACATCGTGCGTTCCTAGGGAGGATAGGGATAGGAAGTAGGTATTGGAATTTTTTTTGAACTTCTGGAGATTATATGTTGTTGGGAATACTTCCTCAGGCAATGAATTCCAGAGCCTAGCCGTTCTATGGATGAAGGAGTTTTGATAAAGGGCTGTTCGACATCTTTCGAGGTTGACAACGAAAGGATGTGCTGACTGGGCTTGTCTAGTTCGTCTGACTGGTATTGATAGTGAAGGGATGATAGCAGAGATTTCCGAAGAACATTTCCCGTGAAAGTATCGATAGAAAAGTGAAAGGTCGCCGACCTTTCTTCGGTGTTACAATGATGTCAAAGAGTGAGTGAGTGTGGCGTCACCCACCAGGCGGATGGCTCTTCTCTGGATGGAATCTAAGAGCATCAGCGTATGTTTCGGTGATGAACCCTATATGTGGGAACAGTATTCTAGAACAGGCCGTATCTGCGCTTTGTAGATCATGAGGAGCTGTTGAGGTGTAAAGTAGCTTTTCGCACGGAACGAGAATCCGAGTTTTTGTGAAGCAGCTTTTGCGATGGATCTGACATGATTATCCCATGAAAGAGTATTGCTGATGGAAATACCGAGCATAGATATGGTGGGCTTGGTGGGGATGGTGGTGCCAAACATTACAATGTCGGGCATACTGAGTTCCGCCTTTCTAGAGAAAATACAGGCTTGAGTTTTGGTGGCGTTGAATTCAACTAGGTTGTTGGTTCCCCAGGCTGTGATTTCAGCAAGATCTTCATTGACAGCATTTACCTGCCTGCACCGTGAGTTCTTAGTTTCCTGGGAAGAAATGGGAATTCTGGAAGAGAACGCAGTATGGAGGGTACTATCATCTGCAAAGCTGTGGATGGGGCATGTTACTCCCAACAGATCATTGAATTGAATAAGGAATAATATATACTGGTGCCAAAATTGATCCTTGTGGAACGCCGGAATTGATTCCAATTGTATCAGACGATACACCGTCCACCACCACATGAAGCGATCTGCCTGAAAGAAAACTCGATAAGAGATGGCATAGCTGAGGTGGTAAGCCGTATGATGGTAGTTTGTGGAGGAGTCCTTCGTGCCAAACACGGTCAAATGCTTTCGATATGTCCAACGCGACAGCTAGAGATTCCCCGTGTTTTTCTAATGAAGCTTGCCATAAATGGGTGACGTAGGCAAGTAGATCTCCAGTAGATCTTCGGTGGCGAAAGCCGTATTGTCTATCATTGATGATTCCTGAGCTCTCCAGATATTTTTGATATAAGCATTTGCTCCCTCATTTGAGGAAACAAAGTTGTCAGTTTACTCCCACGGGAGGAAACAAATATTACCTCCCGTCGGAGGTAAAATAAATTGGTTTCAGGATGCATTCTTCGGCATATACCATATATCTACCTATATATAAAATCTGTGCCATCCAAGTGATCAGTGTCTTTGAGAATGATGCTTTAAAAAAATGCGTTCATTGATAAAATCATATCCATATGGGAGCAATGTGGGGACTACCTTTTCTTCCTTGATATATAATAAATAGCTATTACATATTCATTTGCTTTCAGATGTCATCAAAGTTATTATCACATTCTGCCAATATACCCATATAGGGTCATCCTAGTTAATGAAACAATCAATATTTAAAACGAACTAATCTTTTATTGAAAAAAATAATACAAGGAAATAAATTAGATAAAGTTAGTACTCAGTACTTACAGATATGTAACAAAAAATCCAGATCTACGTTAGATTGATGCTTGACAAACTTTTATAGTACCCATCTCCACTTGTTTCATCACTGGAAGACATAAGTGATAAGTGAATTTGTTCAAAATCACAATGACCAAAGTCAAAGTCTTTGTATTTTTCCATTATTTTTCTAGCATCAATACTTTCTTTGTAAACCCGCTTTCTTTTCGGACTGCTAGATACTTTCCTATATTTTGTGTTTACCAGAGTACAGTGAAGTTTCACGTCTGCACTGAAACTCTTCAGTAGTCCTAGAATAAAATGAAAAAATGCGATTTCTTCGTCCAAGATAGATTTTTTTGTAAAACTAATACTATGATACGTTCCATTTTTTCTTCCTTACTTAGTGCTTTTTCCGAAACGCCTACTGATTTGAAAGCAATTCTAAATGCATTTTAACGAAATTTTTAGGAATAAAAGTCTACACTGTTTTACGACTGAACAAACCGATTTTTCAACGCATTGACAGGTATTTCCCTAACTATGTATATTAACATCTTATTCAGTAGAAGATTATACGAAATCAAACTGCAGGTAAGTTTTTTTAGAATACCAAATGGCATAAAAACATTTTTTTAAAACTTCATCACTTTGTGGCTCAAACGTAGTTTGCATTTTTCAAATAATTTTTGGAATCCATGATATTTCATAACATGAAAAACAATGTGACCAATCTAATGCAGCTACGTACGATACGAGTTATGTATTGTTTATATCCTTGGTATACACCTATCTTAGAAATAAATTCTTGCAATATTGTTATGTTAGATTGATTATTCAAAAATATGAGTTATGATAATGCTTGTCGGTGTATAATCTTTCTTGAGAAGTGCCAACTCTAATTATTGAATTAGAGTATTTCTGATGATTTCAAATAATGAATTATTTAAAAACAGTATTTCTGAAAATTTTTCAATAATGAATAATTGTTTCGAATACTACTTATAGATGGAATGATTGATATAAAATAGGTAGCAACTGAATGAAATGTGACGATAACTGTTACTGATAAATAATAAAGATATACTCTGTATTCATATGATATGGTATCAGATACTCTGTATATATGATGGTATCCAAGATAATAGTAGTTATCAATCTGATGTTTTCTATCTGAACTGAGTCTTGTTAAGTTTTGTGAATATATCGTTATATAGAAAATAGTATTCAATTCATTGTAATTGATAAAGTGGTCCTTCGAGCCGGATCACTTTATCAATTGCAATGAATTGAATACTATTTTCGATATAATAACGATATATTCACAAAACATAACAAGACTCAGTGAGATAGAAAACATCAGATTGATAACTACTATTATCTTGGACCATCATATGTACAGAGTATCTTATACCATCATATGAATACAGAGTATCTTTATTATTTATCAGTAACAATAACAATTGAGATAATGAAAATAATACCTCGTTCATAAAAATAATGTGATAAATCGTTGGCTATCTTTTGTAAAGTGATATCCTCAGTTTCATCAACAAGCTTCACTTTGGCATACAGCACATTCACTTTTTCATAGTTCTTATTCATGCACTCAATACCAGATAAATGAATTCTTAGTTTTCCCGTTTTCTGCAATAAAGGCCTAGAAAAAATAAAAAATAAAATTTGAACAATTCAATAAAGAATCATCCATACTTCATTATCAATTCATTGTATTCTTTCAATGCCGCTATGGCCTCATTTTTCTCGTTTTCATCCAATAGAACAAGTACGTCAATAGTGAGATGAAGTTTAAAATCCCTTTGAAAAATAGATTCTTCCATTCCTCTAATGTTTTTTTCATCTGCTAAAATTTCACTTTTGAATCTCCCAAAATTGCTTTGAATTTCTTCACTTGAACATCTGACGGATAAAAACTGTAGTGGGGCATGTCTACTTCTGATTTGACCGACAGCATTCACCATATGTTCCAGTGCTTCCAGCACATTTTCCTTGGTATCACCCCGTATGACCATTTTTTCATCTTTACCAAGTTTCGGAATTATAATAGTGGTATTTGTCCTTTCAGATAAATTCACTGTATCCAGAACGTCTCTTTGCTTAAGAGCTAAGCAATATATGCTGGATAAATAGAATTTCGAATTAATAACATTTGTTATAGGGTAAGGACAATTACATCATAATGATAACCCTAACAACACAGGGATGTCCTAGGTACGACCCTTTTTTGTCCCGCGGTACAAGGACATGATTGGGGCATCCAGGGGATGTCCCGCAGTGGTTGTCCAGTGGACATCCCGCCCGGTACATCCCTAGGTTATCCTATTCGTTTCCCTGGAATATCTGATATCCATTCACATCAGAGTCATTGAATTTCATCAAAATATCGAGTTGATTTTTTTTTTGAAAATGTTTGTTTTTCTTCCGGAAAATAATTATAATGAACTTCTTGAGAAATGACAATTTTTCGCAAACAGAAATCGTAAATGAATAATGCTCCTCATTCTTAAACACCCAAGAATGATAATAATTATACCCAAATCCTAACTATGTTGTATTTATTCAGGTTTCTGTAGTTCAGTCCTGTTTATAAATCTGTTAAGTACATGAATCTTCAGAAGGCATATTAGCCAATGGAGTAAGGTGCGTGCCTGATAAGCTAAAGATCCCGGGTTTAATCCCTGCTCGTCCTACATTTTTTTCTCTTTTGTCGAAGGGATGTCGCTGGAATATCCTTGGGACGTCCTAGGGATATCCTTTCTTCGTACTTGGTACTTCCCAGGGACGTACCACAAGGACATCGCTAGGATGCTTTTTTTTGTCGGCCAGTGGATATCTCTGGGACGTCCCTAGTATGTACTTTGTCCCGACAAAGGATATCCCTAGGATGTCCTAGTTTAGAATTAGGGACGTCCCTGGAAAGTCCCTAGGATGTACTTGTGTTGTTAGGGAATGGTGCTAGTGCCGCTATTATTTGAATCAGTTGAATTTCTCTGAACGGTAAGTGAACTATATTTGAATACGTATAACTTATAACCTTGAAATATGTACAACACTTTACCAAGACTCGTTCATCTATAGAACGGCAAAGCATTGGAATTCTTTGACAATGGAAGTATTTCCAAGAACTTATTACAACCTCCGAAAGTTAAAAAAATTCCGAAATTCCCTATCCTCTCTATCCTATCATCACGATGTTTTTCGAACATTATAGGAATTCCTTTATTCGTACTGAAATTTTTGCGATATTTTCATGATACAATCTCACTATCATTTTTATCCTCTTCGGAATAACCCATTTTCATTGAAAAACTGTCAGAGGTGTCAAAAAATGCCTGTTTTGTTTCCATGGCATTACTGTTGTGTCCAGACTCCAGAGCCATTTAAATGTTATTGGTGGCAACTCTGCTTTTATGTTAAATAAGTGAAAAAGGGCCTGCGAAAACATTAGCAAACAGGAGAAAAATTAAGGTGGTAGGTAATAGAAGACAACAAATTACATGAAATGAAAGTACATTTGTGTCATAAGTGATTCCAAAAGTTTTTCTAGAATCCAAGCACTTGTTATCAGGAAGTTCAGGAGCACCAATAGTATCAAGAATTTTGCAATGTGGCCGGAAGTTCAATAATAGTAAGAAAATGTGGTACCTATAAGGTGAGAACAAACATACAATTCTTTTGAAATTCTCAACAAAAATAGTCTTCATGTCATTTATTGTATCATTAGGTCTTATACTCGTCTTATACAACACCCCATTTTAGTAATAAATACAAGGGGCGAGGGGACTAATATTGAATTATTGGCATTTAATCACTCCACTGTGTCTTTAGCGATCTAAATCGATTTTTGCAACACTTCTCATGTTTTTTTAATGTTAATAATGAGTGTATGTGTTGTTCGAAATTGTTGAACTGTAAATGTTGGAGACTTGGCAACATTGTGCTGAATGCTGAGAGCTGAAAAGACCACGCCCACAGGTTGTGCGCCGTGTTGTCAATTATACCCGAGCGTTTACCGGTTCAAATGTCCTCTAGTGTGAATTGATATAATTCTTATTTACACCAATGATACATAAACTATAATCACAACACATGAGGGAACATTTTGAGACAATTGATGTTTTAATTCTAATTAGGAATATTACCAATACATAATTGGCAATTTATGGATTATTGAATAGCTAATATTTCTGAAGTTCCCAATCGTATCTCAACATATGGCAACTATGCTATGGTCTGCCCCTAGTCACGAAATCGTGCCATCAGTTTTTAATAGCGGTAAATTTCTAGCAGTTTGAAAATTATCGTGGCATTATTGATGATTTTGGCACCTTTAAATCGACCAACAAATTTAAAAAAAATATTATATTGAAAGGTATTTGAGTGATGATTCTATTTAAGCAATAAAAACAATATAGTCACTCGCCTATTTCGGGAACACCTACTATGATGAAGTAGGAAATAAATAAGTCTAACTCACTATGGCAACTTGAAGCTGCATGAAAATTTTCCATTATCTTCTGCTTGTACCTCCTTGGATCTGCTTTCATTTTCATCATCGCGGAGTTTTGTTTCTGGAAATGGAAATGAAACAAAACATTGATACTGTTTATAGGAACTGCAATGAATCTCAAATCAAAGATGCAGCATATAACAATTATTGTACATAGGGTTGTGAGCAAATTTTTCTGACTATGTCATGTCACGGTCAGAATGAAAATGACGGTCATGTCATTTATGTTTATGACAACCTTGTCATTTTTTTTTTGTCAATTCAAGTTTCTGACTGTCAGAAAAATAAATGACCGTCATTGAATTATATGACAGTCACAAAACCATCAGCTGACTTTTGTTGATGTTCATTTTTAGACAAGCGTTAATTTTCATTTTTGTTGTTTAAATTGGTTGTGTATTTTTAGTATAATCCAAATAAATTTACGCTTATGTTCATGTCAATATTTGCTAATGTTTTAATCACTTGTCTGATGCTTTTATATCAACATTGAAAGTAAAGCAATGAAAATGACCATAAATGACCATAAATGACAAAAATGACATAACTAATGACTGTCACATATCACAAAAAAATAAATGACCGTCATTTTAAATCCCTAATTGTACAGACCTACATCTGAGCCCTAATCACGTTAATCAAAATGTATAATTAATAATTAGGAATTTATGTAGAAATGTATTTATTTCAAGGTTTGTGAGAAGTTGTATAATATGTTTAAATTAAATCTGCTAGCAGTACATACCAAGAAGGTATGAGTATTTATTGAGTAGGTATCTGAAGAGTTTGAAGAATTAGGTACCTATACCTACCTAACTAGTAAGAGTTATAATGAATTAATAAACACAGATAAACTGAGAATTGAAAAATTAGGTAAGTGTGCCCAAAAAAATCAAATCAAATTTTTAGTATCCACTGCAAGAAGTGTCAAAATATCTATAAATGGAAACCTAAAATCGCTTAAATACCTACTTTTTCCAAACTATACAGGGTATGTCACAACAAGCTTACACTATCTCTATATCGAGAATCAGTCGGGAGAAATCCATGAAAATATGCATGCTTATATTTCAGAATACGCTGTCTTCATTTGGTATATTTCCGACAATGCAGTGTTGCCGCTTCTACTAGAAAGTAGTAGCAACATTGATATTTCAAATGAAACACCCTGTATTATATTGCATTATTAGATTCTTCCTGAAAAGCTGTTTTCATCGATGTATCACACTTGGGGTCTATCGAAAATGATTACAGAAATATAGAATAGGGTGTATCTCGGGGTGTACAGGATGATTCACCATAAATGTCCCCCCCTCTAGCTCAGTTATCTTTGAACCGATTTTAAAATTTGAAATATCATCTTGAATGATTTTCGATAAAGTTTTTTTCCGCTAGATCAGAAAATACAGGGTACTCAGAACAAACGATCTACAGGGTAAGTACTATTTGATTTTTTTAAATGAAACAACCTATTTTTCATTGTATTTTTAGATTCTCCCTGAAGAGCTGATTTGATCAATGTATCACACTTGGGGTCTAGCGGGACTGATTACAGAGATATAGGGTGTTCAAAATCGAGATTTTCAACTTTAGGATTTTTTTGTGACGAAACTATTCATTATCGGTCACGCGGTTTTCATATCCGTATCTTAACTTTTGATTTACTATCTACTGACATTTGATAATTGGAACAGATACAGGGTGACCAGAATTCCGAATCTTGAACCACCCTGTAAATGTTCCAATTAAATTTCACTATAGATAGTAAATCAAAAGTTGAGATGGGAACATAGAAGCCGTTTTGACCAATAATGAATAGTTTCGGCACAAAAAAATCCTAAAGTTGAAAATCTCGATTTTGAACACCCTGTATCTCTGTAATCAGTCCCGCTAGACCCCAAGTGTGATACATTGATCAAATCAGCTCTTCAGGGAGAATCTAAAAATACAATGAAAAATAGGTTAAATACAATAAAATACAGGGTGTTCCATTTTAAGAAATCAAACTCTGTAGATCGTTTGTTCCGAGCACCCTGTATTTTCTGATGGAACGGGAAAAAAATTTCTGAAAAATCATTTTAGATTATCTTTAAAATTTTTAAAACGGTTCAAAAATAAGTGAGCTAGAGGGGGGACATTTATGGTGAATCACCCTGTACAAAATGGAGATTTCTCAACTTTAGGATTTTTTTGTGTCGAAACTATACATTATCGGTCAAACGACTCAGATGTCCCTATCTCAACTTTTGATTAACTATTTACTGATATTTAATCGGAACAGATACAGGATGGTTCAAGATTCAGAATTCTGATCACCCTGTATCTCTGTTCCGATTGAATATCAGTAAATAGTAAATCAAAAGTTGAGACAGGGACATTTGAGCCGTTTTGGCCGATTATGAATAGTTTCGACACAAAGAAATCCAAAAGTTGAAAAATCTCGATTTTGAACACTGCCCTGTATCTCTGTAATCATTTCCGACAGACCCCAAGTGTTATGCATCGATGAAATCAGCTCTTCGGGGAGAATCTAAAAATACAATAAAATACAGGGTAGTCCATTTGTAATAACAAAGTTGTTGCTACTTTTTGATAGAAGCGGCAACACTGCATTGCTACAAATATTTTAAATTGAGAGAGCGTATTCTACCGTTATATTTTCATGGATTTCTCCCAACTGATTCTCGATATAGAGATATAGTATGTAAGCTCGTAGTGACATACCCTGTATATAGGTTGGTAAAAGTATGCATTTATAAGCGATTTTAGATTTCCATTTATAGATATTCTGACACTTTTTGCAGTGGATACTGAAAATTTGTTTGATCGGAAAGCTGATCATATACAAATGCTGTATTTATTCTACAAGATTAATCAACAAGCTTTTTTTTTATGTGTGACCCACTTCTAATGGAACCACCCCTGTATCTTACGTAATCGTTGGGCTGGAGCGAGAGATATACCAAAAATGCACTCTATGACCAAGTGGGGTCATCTTCAGTGATATACACTGCTCGCCAACAGCCATGAAACTACCCCAATTTCCGGAAAATGATATTAGGAGTCAAAATAGGTCGAAAATCACTTCAGATTTGGAATCAGGACGCCCAATTTACTAACTATTCAAATTTTTCCTGGAAAATTTTCAGTTCGGAAAAATGAAATTTTGTCGCATTTTTTATGGAAGCACCCCCGTATCTCACGTAATTGACTTTATCTTTGGACTTTCTCTTCCTCCGGCAAATTTCAGAACCCTACCTCAATAATTACGTGAGATACGGGGGTGCTTCCATAAAAAATGCGACAAAATTTCATTTTTCCGAACTGAAAATTTTCTAGGAAAAATTCGAATAGTTAGTAAATTGGGCTTCCTGTTCCTGATTCCAAATCTAAAGTGGTTTTCGACCTATTTTGACTCCTAATATCATTTTCCGGAAATTGGGGTAGTTTCATGGCTGTTGGCGAGCAGTGTATATCACTGAAGATGACCCCACTTGGTCATAGAGTGCAATTTTGGTATATCTCTCGCTCCAGCCCAACGATTACGTAAGATACAGGGGTGGTTCCATTAGAAGTGGATCACACTGTATGACTAGCACATATCTTCAAAATTGCTGAAATCAAATTCCAGGATATACAAGGTGGTCACTTGAAATCAATACCAGTGGCGTCGTTAGGGCAATATAATTGTTTTTAATTACAAACTATGACAGGTGGAGAATTTGCAAATTTCATTATAAAATATGATATAATGTTCTCCATTCTAGTTCTGAGGGCCGGTCCAACCCACCAAACTTTTGAAAATGAATGAAACTTTTTCTATGAAAATATATTCATTCAGAAATGTACAGATCTAGTGTTTTATATTTATAATTGCTCAAAACTAGTTCTACTTATTTTGTAATGATCAATTACCCTATACTATTGAAATTTCGGGTTTAGAAAATATTCCTCCCTGGATATACTAGTTTTTCATAATTCATCCAGCATTGCTCAAAATCGACTATTGAGCCTAGCAGATATGAGTACCTAATGGTGGTTAGCTAAGTTAGCTTATTTCAATAGAACTTTATGCTAAGTTGCCCACTCATATAATGATTCATTCTGAATGGCTGAGACTAGCCACTAGATTGTAAGACATGCCAGTTTGTTGAGCAGTTTTTCCATATCTAGGTGAACAAGATTGAAAAGCTAGTACCTATACCCTTCTGGAAATGGAAATTATAATGTGTCTAAGCCTTTCATCATTGAATAATTGGTTAATCAAAAGGCCTTGAGTGGAACACCTAGTATATATTGGATCATGATCAATAGGTATATAAATCACAGTTAAAGTTTATGCAAAGTCAGTTGAACAGATCATCAAATGAATGTCGGGCTGCACTGCTGCACTCTTTGAACTTTCAAAGGGACCTATGAATTGTGGTGATGTTTTCCCAACTGACTTTGCATAAACTATATACTTCTACTTTCGGCACCTGCTGAGGCTCCATTGATTTTCAATAGATTGAAACAGCGACCGTCTATCCACATTCGAAGTGGTTTACAAGGGCCATTAATGGCTTTTAACATTGCTGAAATAAGTGATGTTTGAAAATCAACCAAAATCACTATTTCAATTTTTCCTCACAATCCTCACATCCGTACATTGCTTTCAATATTATTTGTACATAAGCTATCAAAGATAATAATAATTTCTATCGCCAATGTATGTCAACTACATAATATTATGTAATAGTTTCTTTTTCGGTTTCCTCTGTATTATTACTGCATTCGATAATAATTATTGTGAATTTCACTGTTATTTTTCTTCATCCACAAAGTAAACTCAAAAAAACACCGATACAAAATCAAAATATAGAATATTTTTTATTATTTATTTTGACTTTTCTTTCGTATTTTTATTTACATTAATGCAGTGTTGCCAACATGAAAACTGTGAAAATCCCACATTTCTTGAAAATATTTCCCGCCACATTCAATTTCATTGAATAATCGAAGAAGTTATTAGTCTAATTTTGCTGATATGACGCCTAATACGATGAAAATCTTTATTATCTTTTCAACATATTTTTTCTACAGAAAAATGCGTAGATATAAAACATTACAAACACAAAACACAGTACACAAACTATTACGTCAGTGTCAGTACTCACTGTTCAGAGCGTAGAATGTTTTGTTCCATCTCATCAGAGATCAGTCACCTGAGTCACCCACTGTGGGTGACTGATCTCTGATGTTCATGGCATAACCAATTCCATCTACATACTGAAGCACAAAGGAATAATAAATTTATCTATCTACCAATTCTTCCACCAAAACTCTCGCATGTGTTCGGATTTCTGGAAATTTACCGCCAATTGACAACACTGCATCAATGATAATGACAATTGACAATATCAGCTGCGTTTTGGTGAGAACCACCTTGAACCACCCCAAAGTATGGGGCTTGGTTTATTGCTGGGCGATTTTGGCCTAAGCGGCGTTCACAACCAAACTTTTTACGTTTTGCTTTTTACGTTTCGTATTCTGATTGGTGAAGCAAAGCGATGCTAGCGATGAAACGTGTAATCATATTATTGGTAAATACTAGCTTGCCAATAATAACGCCATCATCCCGAACCTCATCGTCACATTGGTCATCAATGAATGACGTCTACAATATCCACTCATGCGCATTTGCTCGCAGAAAATCCCAGAATTATCAACCCCGGAAGAAGGAAAAACATTTTTGCGAAAGTCTTATTATTAAAGAGAACAATGTTCTAAAATTAATGTGAGTACGATATTATTCAAGGACTCGACTTGATGATGGAAAACTACCTATTAGCTTACAATCATAAAGACTTTCTGTTTCTTGAAGCATTAGGTCGATGATATCTTTTTTCGCACAAAACTCTCCTTCCAGTCTTTGGTAAGTACGCCAATGCAAAAGAGTTGGGACAACTTTAACAATTAGGTTTCGGTCTGTTCTAAACGGATTGTGCTTGTCCATCCAAGCTCCTTCACTACCGACTTCCACAATAAAGAATGCCAGATTTGCATCAGAGGGAACATCTTCCAAACTATTTTGTATTATGGGCAATGCCGCATTACATTCTGGGCTCCAAGATTCATTAGTGCCTGGGGTTCTTGATGCTGTGAAATATACGTACACTGCTTCGCAAGGGTTACCTTTCATGAATTCTTTTATCTTCGTACAAAATGAATCGTAACCGTTGATTTCGTATTGAGTAACACCCATTTTGAATTTTCGAAAATTTGATGCATGTGTCACTGCTGACAATTGACAAGACCAGTGGACCATAACCACACCCTAACCACGATGGATCGTGACCATAACCACAAATAGAAAGTAAGTAAACTGAGATGTTAAGTAAACAACAATGTAAACAAACAGTGAACATAACCTGAAAATGTGATTGTGATATACAAAATATTGTTAAATTATGGCCACTGTGAGGATTCCGGAGCTTAAAGTGATTCTATGTGGTGAATACGGAGTAGGAAAAAGTTCTATTTTCAGGAGATTTACTAATAATACATTTGTTAAAGCTACAGATAGAAAGTCTACTTTAGGACTGGATCATTTCTATAGAACTTTCTACGTTTATGATAGAGAAGTAAAGGTAATTTACAAACAATAGGGCATTTACAGAAACATTCGGAACTCACGAAGGGGCTTCCTGCTTACTAGTCCGAACAACAACTAAGACGTCCATGTCACACTACCATCAGACATCTAAAATCACTGAAAATCGGACTAGTGATTTATTTTTCAGTCTTGAATGCTATTCAAAATAAATTCTTCACAGTATTGATCAAATTTTAACACTATTTTGAAACTTGACTCGATATATCCAAGCAATAGAGCAAGTTACCAATATTATCGATATCAACTTCAATTTTTTAACATTGGTCAAATGTCTATAATAATTTGAATAAACCAATAAAATAGGTATAGTGATAATTTACACCTTGGTAGGAAGTGATATAGCTTCACTCAAAAAGCCTAATGGATGTTTTGGAATTACCCATTATAGAAAATGTTTTTCTTGACTAATACTTAGAAATGGTTCTCTTTAGTCTCAAGGGACAAATGGGCACTGTTTGGAGGGATTTAAGGACACACTTTAGCCCCAGAAGTACAAAAATATAATTTTAAAAATACAATTCAATCTGTCAACATTTCCTTTATATCAAGGTTTATTTGAATGTTGAAATCATGTTATATGCCTAATAAGCACTCATCCAAGATTGTATCTTACTCCTTGTACTAGTGAGAAATGAAAAATAATGAATATTGAAATAATGTATACCCGAGTGTATACCATTGTCAGCACTTGAAATGTGAATCACACTGTAGATTTTATCACTAAGAAACTGGAGCCATCAATATGTTGGCTCAGATTTTGATTTCATTCATTTTTTAGAACCATGTATGAAAAATTCTAGTGGTGGATTAGATGTTCCAGGGTGGATTGATAATATTTTTTTCAAAATTTGCTCCAATTCAAAACTATTTGAACCTGGAGTGGGCACAACCCAGCGAGGGGTAAATCTCCAGGAAAAATGTGTACACCAGACTTCCAATTAACATAGACTTCCAAAGACATCCAAAGACTTCCAGATACTTCCAAAGACTCCCAAAGATTTCCAAAGACTTCCAAAGACATCCAAAGACTTCCAGAGACATCCAAAGACTACTAAAGACTTCCAAAGACTCCCAAAGACCGCCAAAGACATCCAAAGAATTCCAAAGACTTCCAACGGAGTGTACACCAGACTTCCAACGGAGTGTACACCAGACTTCCAAGGAGATTTACCCCTCGCAACCCAGGGACTAATTCTTCACATTTTTATAAACAACATGTCTCATGTCAAACAGCCCCCCTTTATATACAGGGTGTCCCTAGACCAGTGGGACAGTTGAATATCTCCTGAACCAATAGGAATTTTCGAAATATTATAATTTCACATCATATCGCATTAAGAGTGCTAACTTCAGGAATGACTATATTTTATACGAGATGCGCAAGGAAGGCTCACAAAATCGAACATATTTTTTTTCAAATGGGACACCCTGTATTTCATTGCATTTTCATATTCTCCTTGAAGAGCTGAATTCACCGACCTAGCACTCTTGGGGTCTAGCGGGAATGATTTCCGAGATATAGGGTGTGGAAAATCGAGATTTTTCATTTTTGGGAATTTTTTGTGTCGAAACTATTCATTATTTGTCAAAACGGCTCACATGTCCATGTCTTAACTTTTGATCTACTATTTACTCGTATTTAATTGAAACAAATAAAGGGTGGTGTAGAATTCTGACTGAAACTGTTAATTCTACACCACCCTGTATTTGTTTTAATTAAATACGAGTGAATAGTAAATCAAAAGTTGAGATATGAACATGTAAGCCGTTTTGACGAATAATGATTAGTTTCGACACAAAAAATTCCCAACAATGAAAAATCTCGATTTTCCACACCCTATATCTCGGAAATCATTCCCGCTAGACCCCAAGTGAGCTAGGTCGGTGAATTCAGCTCTTCAAGGAGAATATGTAAATGCAATGAAAGACAGGGTGTTCCATTTGAAAAAATTTATGTTCGATTTTGTGAGCCTTTCTTGCGCACCTCGTATAAAATATAGTCATTCCTGAAGTTAGCACTCATAATGCGATATGATGTGGAATAATAATAATTTGAAAATTCCTATTGGTTCAGAAGATATTTAACTGTCCCACTGGTCTAGGGACACCCTGTATATCTCTGCTATTAGTTTTGTGATTCTCACTAAATTAGGACCTGTATTAACGATGTATTAATTAATTATCAATATGATCAGTTTTTCAGAACCAAACAGCATCTTGGACAGTGCCGTCAGTTTTTATCAAGGTTTTTATCAAAATGAAAAGGAGGCAATTTTTTTGAAATCATATTAGGATTTATTTATAGAACAAAATCATCTCAGGACATTGTTTCTTATGGTCTCAAACCCCCATATATGTGAATTTTCCGGGGGGTAAATCACGGCGAAAAAAATTGTACATCAAACTTCCCATGGGTCAAAACTTCCCAAACTTCCTTGAACTTACTCAAACTTCCCCGAACTTCCCAAACTTCATTGAACTTCGAACATCGAATGAAATACTTTTAAACGCGTCGTTTTCGAGATATAGGGTGTTGAAAATAGGAGTCTGGACGAGTCTGAATATTGTTTTTTGATGAAAAGTTCGAAATGGTCTGAGATAAACCAACAAAATTTCTAACAGATACTAAACTTTTTACGCTCTAAGATGGAATGAAAATTATTTCATAAAGTAATTTAGTGGCGGCTGAATCTAGGGGTGGTGAAGGAAAAAAATCACCCCAATTTTTTTGTGCATTCAATTTTTAATTTTCGAGTACAAAATGTGAGAACAGATAGATTTCTGTGTATAATAGTTCTGTTGTAATTTTCAATGCATTACAACGCTTTTGACTTGAACCCGATTAACAATATGAGAAATCAGATTTTTAACTACAAATTGAGAAAGAAATGCACAAATAAAAATTGGGGTGATTTTTTTCCTTCACCACCCCCAGATTCAGCCGCCACTGAATTACATTATGAAATAATCTTTATTTCATCTCATAGAGCCTTAAAAGTTTGGTGTCTGTGGGATATTTTGTTGATTTATCTCAAACCGTTTCGAATTTTTCATCAAAAAACAATATTCAGACACCCAATAGTATTATTGACCAGGCTTCATCTGATTATTCAGTAGGCTTCATCTCAATTCCACATTACATTATTCAGTAGGCTTCATCCCAATTCCACATTACGTGGGTTATAATCAAGAACTGGAATGCCAAACACTGTGCTGCTCGGACCTAAAACTGAGTATCAATTTGAAATTCGAGTCGTGAGATAAGCAACAATTTTCTCTGCGATGAAAAACACTGTATATACCTAACCCATCTAGCGTATGCCTCCTTTGCAGAGAGAGTTTATTAACGCAAAGTTGGTACTCTCCCCTCGTAAGGGTACCTGTCGTGTTTCCATAGAGACATAGGGATGGATATCTGTCTATCTGTTTGCTTGAGAATCTGGAAAAGAAATCAATTTATCTCCTTCCGTACGAACATGGTGATCTGAATTCAGAGAAGTATACTCTCGTCAATTTTTTTGTGAATCGTTTTTTCGATTCGGCTTGACTGGATGGTTTTCTCGGATTTTGTGTCGAATATCAAACACTGTGCTTTTCGGATCTGCAACTAAACATCACATATCAAATATCGAATCATATGAATCAAAAATGATTATTATTGGATGCGGTTCATGGGTGTTGAATTAGAAACTAACCTGAATATTTTTTGCAACTTTCGTAGTTGGATTGCAACATATAAGTTTTGTTTCCAAATAGAAGTTTTCTCAGTAGACTTCATCCACATCTCCACAAATCAAGACCTGGAATGCCAAACACTGTGCTGCTCGGATCTAAAACTAAGTATCAATTTGAAATTTGAGACGAACATGGAATGAAGAGTCTGTATATTGTTTTCAATATTCGTAACTGGAATGTGATATATTTTCGTAATTTATTAATTAATCAACTATCTCAAACAATACGAGGCAGGCAGATAAGCAACAATTTTCTCTGCGATGAAAAACACTATATATACCTAACCCATCTAGCGTCTACCTCCTTTGCAGAGAGGGTTTATGAACGCAAAGTTGGTACTCTCCCCTCGTAAGGGTACCTGTCGTGTTTCCATAGAGACATAATGGTGAATATCTGTCTATCTGTTTGCTCGAGAATCTAGAAAAAGAAATCAATATATCGCCTTCCGTACGAGCATGGTGATCTGAATTTAAAAAAGTATACTCTGGTCATTTTTCTTTGTGGATCGTTCCTCCGGTTCGGCCGGACTGGATGGCTTTCTCGGATTTTGTTTCAAGTATCAAACACAGTGCTTCTCGGATCTGCAACTGCACATCACATATCAAATATCGAATTAAATGAATCAAAAATGATTATTATTAGATGCTGTACATGGATGTTGGATTAGAAATTCACCTGAATATTATTGCAACGTTCGTAGTTGGATTGCAACTTGCAACATATAAGTTTTGTTTCCGAATAGAAGTTTCCTCAGTAGGCTTCATCCACATTTCCACTTAACATGATTTATAATAAAGACCTGGAATGCCGAACACACTGTGCTGCTCGGATCTGCAACTAAACATCACATATCAAATATCGAATCATACGAATCAGAAATGATAATCATTAGATGCGGTACATGGATGTTGAATTAGAACATTAGTTGAATATTTTTTTGTAACGTTCGTAGTTGGATTGCAACATCGAATCAAATCAAAAATCAAATCACGGTGACTCCAGAAATCAAATAAAATGTAGGGTGATCCATTAGAAAACATTGTCGCTGTTGCCTTAACTCAAACGTGGACCACCCTGTATATGCAATTTTCCGTTTTGAATGTGGCAAATTGAAAATAAAAATCGGCCTGTTTCAGGAGATTCCTCAGAAATGGATAGTTTGGCTTAAATAGTTATTTATGTACCAAGGACGAAAAACTGTCTATTATAGTCGAATCTGCAGTAATCAGGCAAGACAAT